ATGCTAAAGCAAATGGAAGAAATGAGGAGGTCCAAGAGCTGAACAGAAAATTTCAAAGATCAGCTTGAGAAGCTAAAGCCAAATATTACAAAAAAATGTGCAAAGATCTGGAATCAGCACACCAAAAAGGAATAACACGCTCAGCATTTCTCAAGCTGGGGGAACTGAAGGAAAATTTCAAGCCTCAAATTTCATTATTGAAAGATTGTAAGAACTTCTTAGTGACAACTGTATATCTAAGTAAAATGTGGAAATGTGCTGAGATAGCTAAGTAGTAAAGAACACAGCTTTGGAAGAGTGAACAATGAATAATAAAAAAAAGAATAGTTGTGACCTGAATACTTGTAATTAGTGATAGTCATTTATGTTCTTACTGGATACTACTGACTTATAAAACTAGAGATGAAATGTTATTGTTATTGTTGTTGTTAAGTGTCTTGAGTTGGTCTGATTCATAGCAACCCTGTCTGTATAGGGTTTCCGACATAAAGGGACTGGTAACAGTTGTGTTTAAAAGATAAATTACCAGAAAATAGGACTCCACAATCAAACATAGCATGAAATATTGAAATGTCCATGCTACATTATGCTAACTATTTTTTTCCCAGTCCATATGACACACCTTTTTTTACCTGAGTATAAAAATAAGGATGCAATCCCAGGTAAGTGTGGTTCTGGGGAGAGTCAAGTCCTTATCCTTTACAGACTGTTTTTTGCACCCCTAAATCTCAGTGATATTTATTTCTCAGATCAAGAAATCCACCAAATGCTTAAAAAGCATGACTTTTTATTATTAAATTATTAAGTCACAAATGTACTTATTCTCAGACAAACTTTATAGGGCAAATAACTAAGGCTTCTAGAGAAGGTAGTCTACTTTATTTAAAAAAAAAAAAAAAGTTTTGATGTAAATAAAAAATGTCCCACATTCACCAATGATTCAGTACAATAATCAAGTGTTGTTGTTAGGTGCTATCTAGTTGATTCTAATTCATAGCGACTCTGTCCACAATAAAATGAAACACTGCCTGGTCTTGTACCATTGTCACAATTGTTATGTTTGACCCTATTTCTGCAGCTCCTGTGTCAATCTAGATCATTGAGGGTCTTCCTGTTTTTTGCAAATCCATTGCTTTAGCAAGAATGATGCTCTTCTCCAGGGACAGGTCCCTTCTGATGACATGTACAAAGTACATTTGATGAAATCCCACCATCCTCATTTCTAAGAAGCATTCTGGCTGTATTTTTTCCATGACAGATTTGTTTGTACTTCTTGCAGTCCATGGTAATTTCAATATTCTCCAACACCATAATTCAAAGGCATCAATTCCTCTTTGGTCTTCCTCATTCATTGTACATGTTTCATGTGTGTGATAATTTGAAAAACTTTCACATGAGGCAATAGAAAATGCCATGGCTTAGTTCAGGTGGACTTTAGTCCTCAAATTGTTATGTTTGGTCTTTAACAGTTTAAAGAGTTCTTCCACAGCAGATTTGCCTAATGCAGTATGCCATTTCATTTTTTGACTGCTGCTTCCATAATAATTAAATATGGATCCAAGTAAAATTAAATCCTTAACAACTTCAATATTTTCTCTGTTTGTCATCATGTTGTCTATTGGTCCATTAGTGAGGATTTTTGTTTTCTTTACATTGATGTGTATTCCATTGTAAAAATTCAAGTTGGTATACAATATGAACCTTCTTCAGCAACTGCTTCAAGTCTGATTCATGTGGGACAGCATGAAGAGGAATAATTTAAGAATTATAGTCATTCTGGAACAGGAATAATCATACAAGTCCACAGAGGAGATAGTTGAAGAGCTTTCGGAAGAAAATTGCCCTAGCATCCTAAAAAATGAAAAGATAAGAATTCAAGAAGCTGAACAAATCCCAGGAAGGACAGACCCAAAAAGAAAATCAGCAAGACATATCATAATCTAGCTCTCCAGAACCAAAGGTAAGGGGAGAATCATCAGAGCAGCTAGGGAAAAGAGAAGTGTTATATACAAAGGCAAGCAAACCAGATTAATCTCTGATCTCTGAGCAGAAACCATGTAGGCAAGAAGGCAATGGAGAGACACATATAAAACACTGAAAGAAAAAAACAAAAACTACCAACCAAGAATTGTCTACCCATAAATGCTGCCAATCAAATACAGTGGTGTAATAAAAACATTCCCAGATAAACAGAAGCTGAGGGATTTTTCCAAAATCAACCCAGCACTTCCAAACATCATAAAGTGAGTTCTTTTGACCTAGAACCAACAAGAAGGGACAACAACCAGTGATTGTCATATGTGGCAATATCACCCAGAACACAATCAACAGAT